TTTGTCTTATTTCTTGTTTGTTTCACAATAAAAAATATTTTGCATCTTCAAAGTGGTAGGCATGTTGTGTAAATGAAATGATACAAATCCCCCCCAAAATCAATTTTAATTCCAGGTTGTAAGGCAACAAAATAGGAAAAATGCCAAGGGGGGTGAATACTTTCGCAAGCCACTGCATAACCATTCAGAGGCTATTTTTTATTTTCTTTTATCTTTATTTAACTAGGCAAGTCAGTTAAGAACAAATTCTTATTTATAATGACGGCCTACACCGGCCAAACCCGGACGACGCTGGGCCAATAACCACTCACAGGCTATAACTACTCACAGGCTATAACCACTCAGAGCAAATATGGCTAATGGTTATTTAAACATCATCTCTTGGAACATAAATGGTTGTGGTAACCAAGTGAAGAGGAAAACTATTTTTACATATTTAAAATCAAAACAGGCGGATATTGTGTTCATACAGGAATCAGGCTGGGTTGCAGAAGTTTATCATTGCTCATTTAATTCCAAACAAAATGGGGTGATTATTCGGATAAGCAAAATACTTAATTGTGTAATGTTGAAGCAACACTCTGATGAGTTTGGCAGGCTTATTTGCCTTGAGGCTCTTATAAATGGGATTCAGGTAGTGTTATGCAACATATATGCTCCCAACAAGCAGGACCCTGATTTGTTTTCATGAGGTCAATGTTATACTGGGAAATATGGAGGGACAGTTCATCCTTGCTGGAGACTTTAACCAAGTGATGGACAATATGATTGATACAAATACATTTACAGGTAACTCCACGCAAAAGGATAGACTTGCAATACATATCCTAGCAGAATATATGGGCCTTACAGACATATGGAGATTAGTCCATCCTAATGATAGAGAATATACTTGTTTTATCCCACTGTCATAAGACACACTCCAGAATAGATTTCCCCTTGATATCTAATTTCATGGTTATTAATGTGATTGTTTGCAAGATTGGGCCCATCGCCCCCACAGATCATGCTTTAGTAGCGTTACATGTTGATATAAACTCCGAAAATGTGAGGAAGGGTAGATTCAGACACAAGACCATGCTATTACAAGATGAGATATTTAGCCAATCACTAGCAGATTACCTTTTTTGAGATCAACATAGGCTCAACTGAAAGGATTTCCACAGTATGGGAAACCTCTAAAGAATATATTAGAGGGAAGATAATAGCACATGCGTCCAAAAAGAAGAGAGAAGGGGCTGAAGCAGTAAAAAGATTAGAAACCGAGATATCTGTCTTGAAAAGGGATTTGGCAAGACATTTCACAGATAGCACATTTCAAACTGCCTGCAAACTGAAATTTCAATTGAATGAAATGTATAACAAAAGGGCAGAATATGCACTGTTTAGGCTTAGAACCAGTTTTTATGAGGGACGTGAGAAGACAGGCAGGTTACAAGCAAGACAATTTAAAATGCAGAACACATCTAACGTAATCCCAGCAATTAAGAAGGGCAATAAAATGGTGACCTCATCCAAAGCGATAAACAGTGTGTTTCAACGTTTTTATGAAGATTTATATACAGTACATCCTCCTGTTCAGCGAGCCCCATAGATATGGATACTTTTTTGTCTGGTATAGAATGACCTAGATTATCAGATAGCCAGGTACAGGACCTAGACTGTACTATAACAGAGGAGGCAATTTTATCTATGAAAGCAGGGAAGTCACCTGGTCTGGATGGCCTTCCTGTAGAATATTCTCAAGAAGTACAGTGGGGAAAAAAAGTATTTAGTCAGCCACCAATTGTGCAAGTTCTCCCACTTAAAAAGATGAGAGAGGCCTGTAATTTTCATCATAGGTACACGTCAACTATGACAGACAAAATGAGAAAAAAAAATCCAGAAAATCACATTGTAGGATTTTTAATGAATTTATTTGCAAATTATGGTGGAAAATAAGTATTTGGTCAATAACAAAAGTTTCTCAATACTTTGTTATATACCCTTTGTTGGCAATGACACAGGTCAAACGTTTTCTGTAAGTCTTCACAAGGTTTTCACACACTGTTGCTGGTATTTTGGCCCATTCCTCCATGCAGATCTCCTCTAGAGCAGTGATGTTTTGGGGCTGTCGCTGGGCAACACGGACTTTCAACTCCCTCCAAAGACTTTCTATGGGGTTGAGATCTGGAGGCTGGCTAGGCCACTCCAGGACCTTGAAATGCTTCTTACGAAGCCACTCCTTCGTTGCCCGGGCGGTGTGTTTGGGATCATTGTCATGCTGAAAGACCTAGCCACGTTTCATCTTCAATGCCCTTGCTGATGGAAGGAGGTTTTCACTCAAAATCTCACGATACATGGCCCCATTCATTCTTTCCTTTACACAGATCAGTCGTCCTGGTCCCTTTGCAGAAAAACAGCCCCAAAGCATGATGTTTCCACCCCCATGCTTCACAGTAGGTATGGTGTTCTTTGGATGCAACTCAGCATTCTTTGTCCTCCAAACACGACGAGTTGAGTTTTTACCAAAAAGTTATATTTTGGTTTCATCTGACCATATGACATTCTCCCAATCCTCTTCTGGATCATCCAAATGCACTCTAGCAAACTTCAGACGGGCCTGGACATGTACTGGCTTAAGCAGGGGGACACGTCTTTCACTGCAGGATTTGAGTCCCTGGCGGCGTAGTGTGTTACTGATGGTAGGCTTTGTTACTTTGGTCCCAGCTCTCTGCAGGTCATTCATTAGGTCCCCCCGTGTGGTTCTGGGATTTTTCCTCACCGTTCTTGTGATCATTTTGACCCCACGGGGTGAGATCTTGCGTGGAGCCCCAGATCGAGGGCGATTATCAGTGGTCTTGTATGTCTTCCATTTCCTAATAATTGCTCCCACAGTTGATTTCTTCAAACCAAGCTGCTTACCTATTGCAGATTCAGTCTTCCCAGCCTGGTGCAGGTCTACAATTTTGTTTCTGGTGTCCTTTGACAGCTCTTTGGTCTTGGCCATAGTGGAGTTTGGAGTGTGACTGTTTGAGGTTGTGGACAGGTGTCTTTTATACTGATAACAAGTTCAAACAGGTGCCATTAATACAGGTAACGAGTGGAGGTCAGAGAAGCCTCTTAAAGAAGAAGTTACAGGTCTGTGAGAGCCAGACATCTTGCTTGTTTGTAGGTGACCAAATACTTATTTTCCACCATAATTTGCAAATAAATTCATTAAAAATCCTACAATGTGATTTTCTGGATTTTTTCCCCTCAATTTGTCTGTCATAGTTGACGTGTACCTATGATGAAAATTACAGGCCTCTCTCATCTTTTTAAGTGGGAGAACTTGCACAATTGGTGGCTGACTAAATACTTTTTTTCCCCACTGTATATTGACATTCTTTTACCTGTATAGACAGTGGTTTTCCAGGAGGCATTTAAAAATGGCTCGCTTCATGACACCTTTAACGAGGCTTTGATATCATTGATCCCTAAAAAGGATAGAGATACAACAGAACCTGCGAATTTTAGAGCCATCAGCCTCCTTAATGTGGATTGTAAGATTTACATTTTACAGACGCTCTTATCCAGAGTGACTTACAGTTAGTGAATGCATACATGTTCTTTTTTTATACTGGCCCCCCGTGGGAAACGAACCCACATCGCTGCCGGCCAAACCCTCCCCTACCTTGGACTAATTGTGTGCCGCCCATGGGTCTCCCAGTCGCGGCCGGCTGCGACAGAGCCTGGACTCGAACCAGGATCTCTAGTGGCACAGCTAGCACTGCAATGCAGTGCCTTAGACCACTGCGCCACTCGGGAGATTCTTACTAAGACCCTTGCGATACGCTTAGAGAACACACTACCTAATATCATACAAATTGACCAAGTAGGATTTATTAAGAACAGGACCTCAACTGATAATATGAAAAGGCTCTTACACCTCATGTGGTTAAACCACTCAAATATAGTTCCTACCGCTGCTGTCTCCTTAGATTCTGAGAAGGCATTTGATAGGGTAGAGTGGGCTTTTCTCTTAAGAACCCTTGGAACATTTTGTTTTGGATCTCATTTTTAAAAGTGGATAGGGGTCCTTTATTCAAATCCTAAAGCAACAGTACTTACGCATGGAATTATGTCTCCTTTTTTAGTCTTTCTAGAGGCACAAGACAGGGTTGCTCGCTTTCCCCTCCCATATTTACTATAGTTTTAGAGCCTCTTGCGACAGTGATAAGAACAGATCCAGAAATTAGTAGTGTCCATGGAGGAGGAAAATAACACAAGCTGCTTATGTACAGCATGCAGACGGTATTCTACTGCTGGTCTCTGATTCTCTTCAGTCTGTACCACCATTACTTAATTGAATTGAATCATATTTTAGTTTGTCAGGCTACAAAATTAATTGGAAAGAGTCAGAAGCAATGCCAATTAATGCCATATGTTAATCTGGAACCGTTACCCCATTATCGGAAGGTGTTCCTAATGTTTTGTACACTCAGTATATGTAGTCCACTGTGTTCATCCTTCGATCCTTTGAACCCGTAAAGGAAAATCCTTAACCAAAGCCACTCATCATACTGAAAACTAGTATGTAATAAACACAACAAATATTTGATTTAAGTAAAATAATGTGAATAATGAGGTTAGAGTCTTATAAGTGATAGTAATGGGCAGTCACTACCATCAATTGTTTTATTATGTGTTGTTACAGCATTCAACCAACATAATGCATTTACTGTAAAATAAAATGTTTTATGCTCAACTGAAATTGAAAACGTGATTATTTTTTTCGAAACCGAACTGACCTCAAAAAGCCCTAATCGCTCAGCACTAACCATAGAAATCTATACATTAAAATATCCATTATAATTAAGAAATAAGGCCCGAGGGGGTATGGTATTTTGCCAATATACCAGAGCTAAGGGCTGTTCTTAGGCAAGACGCAACGCGAAGTGCCTGGATACAGCCCTTAGCTGTGGTATATTGGCAATATACCACAAACCCCAGAGGTGCCTTATTGTTATTATAAACTGGTTACCAACGTAATTAGAGCAGTAAAAATAAAAGTTGTCATACACGTTGTATACAGTCTGATATACCACGGCTGTCAGCCAATCAGCATTCAGAGCTCAAACCACCCAGTTCATAATATACAGTATATCTGTATGATTGTGGTACAACAGTGTTCCCAAAACCTCTCCTTCAGTACCCCCAGCCAGTCCACACATTTGATGTATTCCAGAACTAGCCAGCTGATTTAACTAATGAGGGGCTTAATGATTAGAGGCTTGACAGCATTTACATCAGCTGTGCTTGTTCTGGAATACATCAAATCAGTTGACTGGCTGGGGGTACACCAGGAGAGGTTTGAGAAACACTGTTGTACAGTATCCTAACACTAATCATCCCTTTCCCCAAGTCTCAGATCTCCTCCTGGCAGATGATCAGTTCTGATGCTCTGATACGAGAGTTCCTCTTCTCTCTGTTCTGCTTGAGCCTCCGGAGCACGGGGGTGCTGCCATGCTCTCCTGCCCAGGGAAGGGCACCTGCTACTGGGCCACCCGGCTGGGGACCTGGGGGGCATGACATATGGTACATTAAAAGTATGCTAAAATATTACTGTAGGTAAGTGAAAGATATCACTACGTGGGTTAATGATGTGTCCTCCTGGCCCCTCATTTGTTATCTTCTCTTTCAATCTTCCTCTTCTAGTTTGCGCCATTAAAGACCAGTCCATCTTTCAATGTAATACCATCAATTTAGTCCAAGCGAGCGAAACAACAACCAGAGAGGACCCCTGCGACCCTTAAAAAAAGCTAAACTGACTGACTGTCCCCTATTCCCCAAATCAAAGGATGGAGATGCTGCACCTTGTATTTTGATGGAGGGAGGGGCTGGGGAGGGGGTTGAGGAGGGGCCGGGGGTGTCCTGTCCGTCCCCCATGGCCCGCCTCCTCCTCTGTAGTACCAGATGTAGCTCCGCCTCCCCTACGTTTCGGCTAATCCTCTTCCGTGACCCCGCCCTCCTGTGGCCCGGGCGTTTCATGGTGTCCTGGGATAGGATAGGTCAACCAATCAGGATAGGTGAGGAGGAGGGTAAACCAATCATGTCAATGAAAAGAAGAATAGAAAGTACAGTAAACCAATCAGGGTTTGGCTTCTCAAAGCCTCCATAGTACAATATTAATCTCATCGACGTATAGACTCACTAGCAAAACAGCAAATGCTTCATTTTAGAAATTGATCCCATCTTACCAGCATTACTTTTAGTTCCAGCACGGCTGACTTTCTCTTCTCACTCCTCTGGTCCTGTGATTGATAAATGAATAAATGAATACGAGTAGCATTTTAATACTAAATAAATAAATAATCTTTATAAACACTATTATAATGGGAAAGGCATAAAAAGTGCTCACTCTCCAGGCACTGTCATCTTCTGATCCAGCCTGATATAGGAGAGAAGCAGTGAGATGTTGGACCACTGTAATTGTCTCTCTAACAAGTAGATAGCATGACTGGTTGATTGATAAATCAATGGATTGATTGGTTGGTTGGTTGATACATGCGCTAGCTAGCCTTACCTGTGGTCTCAGGGTGGGTTTCAGGACAATGCCTTTCTTTATCCTCTCCATCATCTCATCCACCGCTCGGGTCTTCATGTCCACAGAAGGATCTGGCTCTGGTGGAGAGAGGAGACAACACAGTGAGTAGGCTACCTGAGCTGTTGTGTGTTCAATGATACCACTGTTCACATCAGAACCAGGGTCTTTGTTTGTTGACCTGCTAAACGTTGAAACCTTGAATATCCTGAGCACATACTGTCTGTATATTGTAATAGTAGTCATAGAATGCGTAAGTAATGTAATCATTTCTGCTCTGTATGTCATTTTATCTGTTTAAGCTGTTTGGATTGTTGATTGAAGTGACACAGGGCACCATTGGAAAAAAAGACCCTGGTCTCAATTGGGATTCCCTGGATAAATAAAGGTTAAATAAATACAATAAATCAGTAAGCCATGCGTAGTGATACCACGGTAAAAACACTCACTATTCTTATCAGTGTTGTTGACTGACTCCTTCCTCTTGTTGCGCAGGACGACAAGTGGACTAGACAGGAATAACAGGAAGTAGAACTGAAGGAGTTTATTCACTAACATTTACCAGATTCTGCCTTACCTCTGGGTACTACCAACTTTTATGTAACAAAGGTAAAAAAGCTCACATTTTCAATGTAAAGTTGCCAATAAGTTTAAATTGTTTGGAATAGGATACCTCTACCTGTTAATATAGTGATTCTGGATACGTCTACCTGTTAATATAGTGATTATGGATACTTCCAACCTGCTACTATAGTGATTATGGATACGTCTACCTGTTAATATAGTGATTCTGGATACTTCAACCTGCTACTATAGTGATTCTGGATACCTCTACCTGTTAATATAGTGATTATGGATACTTCAACCTGCTACTATAGTGATTCTGGATACCTCTACCTGTTAATATAGTGATTATGTAATCATGTATTTATATAGTATATTGAATAGAGAACAATATAGTCTAGAACCTACTCAACAGCAGTGCTGGAGGGAGGTGGGGGCAGGGGAGGAAGAGGAGGAGGAGGAGGAGGAGGAGGAATAGGAGGTGCAGTGGTTGAGTTGTCCTCCACTGGTTGGTCAGCTTTGGAAACCCGGTCTTTCTCTGTGTCTTTCAGCCTATCCTGGAGTTGTTTCACTAAAAGGAAGACAAAGTACCACCAACCACAGCAGTGTGTCATATTTATTATTTGAAAACAGCATTTGTTTGAGGACTGAAAATGGCGCAAAGAAAAATTCAACTCCAGATAAAAAAATAAAATAGTAATTGATTATTTATAATGATTTTACATCAGGGTCCTATGATCACTATGAGCACGTATTATATAGACCTAAGATTTTAGCACAAAATACATATGTAAGGCTGCGTTTACACAGGCAGTCCAATTCTGATAATTTTTCCGCCAATTGGTCTTTTGACCAATCACATCAGATCAGAATTGGGCTGTCTGTGTAAACGCAGCCATTAAATCGCAGATGTGGTAGCTACCTTCTCCCTGGAGGTGGGTGGCAGTGATCTGCGCCTCCCTCAGCTGGGTCTCCATGGTCCTCCTCTCCTTCTCACTGCTCTCCAGCTGGCCTTTGACAAGCTGCAGCTCAGACAGAACACTGCTCTCCTCCAGAGCACACTGGGTTTGCTTCAGCTGTGATAGTCATTAAACAGAGATATGGATAGATACAGACAGAAGGATAGACATACTATACGCTCAAAATTAGACTTACACATTTAAATCTAACTTCTAGACGGGTGGGTTGTTTAGCAACAAAACCGATGCATGTGCAGCCGTGGAGCAAAACAAGTGGGGTTGGCTTAGAATCAAAGGATTGTTGACAACATGTAAACTACACTGAGTGTACAAAACATTAAGGACACCTGTTCTTTCCATGACATAGTCTGACCAGGTGAATCCAGGTAAAAGCTATGATCCCTTATTGATGTCACTTGTTAAAGGAGACCAGTTAAAGAAGGATTTTGAAGCCTTGAGACAATTGAGACATGGATTGTGTATGTGTGCCATTCAGAGGGTGAATGGGCAAGACAAAAGATTGAAGTGCCTTTGAACGGGGTATGGTAGTAGGTGCCAGGCGCACCAGTTTGTCTCAAGAACTGCAACACTGCTGGGTTTTTCACGCTCAACAGTTTCCCGTGTGTATCAAGAATGGTCCACCACCCAAAGGACATCCAGCCAACTTGACACAACTGTGGGAAGCATTGGAGTCAACATGGGCCAGTATCCCTGTGGAACGCTTTCAACACCTTGTTGAGTCCATGCCCCGACGAATTGAGGCTGTTCTGAGGGCAAAAGTGCAACTCAATATTAGGAAGGTGTTCTTAATGTACACTGCATATTCTCTCTACACATCTTAATTGAAAACATAAATACATTTACACAATGAACACTTGTTGTCTCTTAAATACATCGTACAGTTGTTGGTTAGCTAGCTAGCGAATATTTGCCATATTAGCATAATGTGACAAAGAGCCAAAACAGCTCAAAACAAAAAATGGTATCAATAACAAGATACAACGAGCTGAAACAATTCCCCACATGGCAGCTTCTTGTCATTGTTGCTAATTATCTGACCGTCCAGAATCATAACAACACACCGACTTCATAACGACACACAGACTTGATAACGACACACAGACTTCGTAACAACACAAAGACTTCTGCCCCATCGACGCGTGCTCATTGTTTTCGGGATGTTGTCAACTAACCCGTCTATTTAGAAGAGACGACTATTCGCGCTCTCTCTCCCTCTCTGTTTCTCACTCTCACTTACACACACACACATACTTCCCCCACCCTACCTGGTTTCGGTAGTAGAGCTGTATGTCCTGTAGGGTACTGTTGATGTGGGCCACCTGTTCCAGAGCCTGTTGGAGCTGGAGACTGGTCTCTGAACTCTGCTGCAGCATCATGCTCTGTCGCTGGGTCTCCTTCTGCTTCACCAACACCTGCCAGTCAGTCAATCAATCAATCCATCGTTCAATCAATCAATCAGTCAGTCAATCAGTACATCAATCAGTACATCAATCAATCAATCCACCAATCAATCAATCAGTCAGTCAATCAGTACATCAATCAATCAATCAATCAATCAATCAATCCACCAATTAATCCCTCAATCAATCAATAAATCCATCAACCAATCAATTAACCACTCAATCAATCAATAATTTAGGTACAACGTAATTAGATAATTGTATACAGTCTGATATACCACGTTTTTTAGCCAATCAGCATTCAAGGCTCAAACCAACCAGTTTATAATTTATATTATACAACAGTTATGGTAAGCTCCCCTTTAAAAAACGATTCATCCATTGCTGATAATGGAGCAAACCAATTTGATAGATAACTTCAGTGACTATAGTAAATGCATTGAATGTTTGGAGGCTCATGCATGAGCATCTCTATAAACCTGTAATATATACTGTAGCTGTGAATGGTCACATGATAGTGAAACTAGCTTTAACAAAAGGGCCACTATCAGAAATAGAGTGAGTTTAGGAATTGAAAGTCACTTTCACTTCTGGATTCCATAAATTCAAACACAGCGAGGGAGTAGTGAAAGCAGCCATCTGTGTGTTAGGCTACACATCATCATCATTACATTTAGTACAAATTAGCCTGGTGTAAGCACTCTAAAGTCCCCATAACACAAGGCCATTTTCACACAGCCAGGGCATTAATTAGGGAACGCTATTGTTTGACACACAAAGCGCTGTTGGTGTCCATACAACATGTACACGCACACACACACAGACACAGGACCAGCATCAAACAGAGGAGCCTTTACAGAGCATTGAGAGTAAAGGAGGCTGAGTTGTGTGGTTGTGTCAGAACAGTAGGGGTCCTTTTCACAGGTAAGGACCCCTGCGAGGCGTCCCATTATGTGCCCGTCTGGTAAGTAGCGAACGGTGCGCACAAAGGCGACAATTGACCGTGTTCAATGTAAAGTGTCAAGCTAAAGACGAGGATGTGTTTAAAGCTGTAGTCCCCATTCTCAGACTGCCGCCGTGATGGGTGCTCATTATGAAGCAGAGGGGGCTCTGAGAGGGGAGGCTACTTTTGTTGTCAGCTGAGACGCTTGTTTCTACCGCCAACATGACCAGCTGGGAAGTCGGCAACTGAGTGTGAGTGTCTGCGTTTCTCCTTTACAAAGTGATCATCAGCCTGCCTGTCCCTCCCTTCTCACACCTCTTTGTATTTCACTGCCCAATTTGTCCTCTTGGTCTGAATGCAGAATGAATGGGGATCCCCCCTCTCCCCCCAACCCTCTCCTGTCCCACAATATGGCCCCTGTCTGAATGAGGAAGTGAAGAAGTGAAGAAGTACCCCCCCCCCCCGTCCAATATTCCATTCACTAGAACTGCCCCAGGGCCCTGGTCGAAGCCACTGCAGCTCCTTGTCTTCTTGTGGCACAACCTATATCACTGTCATTCGAGAGAGGGGTGAATACACACCCTTCCCTGCCACCTAGGAGTTGTGTATTTGTATTTGTATTTATTAGGGTCCCCATTAGCTGTTGCCAAGGCAGCAGCTACTCTTCCTGGGGTCCAAACACATTAAGGCACTTACATTACACACACACACACACACACACACACACACCCACACACACAAAATGTACTTCATATAACATTATTACACCACTACATATCTATATACAATACAAAATGTATAATACCACCATACAACAATATTACAATATACGTGTGTGTAGAATGCGTGTGCTAGCGTGTGTGTGTGTGTGTGTGTCTCTTCACAATCCCCGTTGTTCCATGAGGTGTAGTTTGATCTGTTTTTTTATTCTGATATTACTGCTTGACTGAGTTACTTGATATGGAAGAGAGTTCCATGTAGTCATGGCTCTATATAGTACTGTGCGTCTCCTAGCCTCTGTTCTGGACTTGGGGACTGTGAAGAAGTCTTGTGGGGTATGTATGAGCTGTGTGCTAGTCATTTGAACAGACAGCTCAGTGCTTACAACAAGTCAATACCTCTCACAAAGACATGTAGTGATGAAGTCAATCTCTCCTCTACTTTGAGCCACACACACACACACACTTTCAGAAACATAAACACACACATATGTACACACCTACGAACGCATGCATGTGCGCACACACACACACACACACACACACACACAGAGTGAGGTGTACCTGGTGGGCGAAGACCTCTGCGTGCTGTCTGAGGCCCTGCTCCAGCTCCAGTTTCTGAGTGATCTCTGTGAAATCCTCTGTCACAAGCTGGGACACTATGGACACACACACACACATACAAACACACACAAGTAAAACATTGAACATGACTTTGGAATGAGGTGAATAGAGTGTATATCATGAGTAACACTGATATGTGTCTGAGTGGAGTCTCACCTCTCTTCATCTTATTCATGGTCTTGTTCTGTTTGGACAGTTTCTTCAGTATGGCCTCTTTCTCATCAATCTCCAGAGCCAGCTGAGTGGGACATATAGAAGAGTAGGAGACCATAAATACTCAAACTCAGCACGCACACACACACACAGACACACACATCCTGACACCCCACCCACCCCCCACCCACACATACACACAGACAGGTCTAGAGTGTGTCCGTCGGTGCTAGCTACCTGTTCTTTGAGCTGGCTCTGCTCTGCCCTCAGGGCCTCCACCTGCTCAAACAGCCGCAGCTTCTCCTCCAGCAGCTGGTCCACCGAGGCCTGCAGCTCTGGCCAGGATGGGGGGAAGGATGGAACAAAAGAAGAGATGAACGAGAGGGAGGGAGAGAGAGAGACAGGGGAGAGACAGGAAGATGATGAGCAGGTATTTTAATAACATTTTCCCGATCGGTCGAGTAAAAGTACAAAAACAATCCTCTCAAATCTCAATTCTATAACATTTATCTGTCACTCATTATCATAAATTATACAGTATATGTTCAGTATGGTTATTGTGTAAGTCTCTATACCTCTTATCTGGGCCTGTCCTAGCAGCACGGCATCCTCACCGCTGTCCCCATCAGGGTCGGGATCGACCCCAAGGTCAGCCTCCATGTTTTCAGGAAGCTCTGGGATGAATGGCAGCAGAGCCTGGCTCCTCCTCTTCAGAACCTTGTTGTCTTTGGTCACCTTTGTGTTCAAGGAGAAAGAGATCTGTTGAGAGCATTGTTTCAGTGTTCCAGAGGGTATGCAGGCTTTTGTTCCAGGCTAGTAATTATACAATTAATCACTGAGTCCTTGATTAGCTGACTTGTGTGTGTTACTACTTGGCTGGCACAAAAACCTGCACACCCAAGTGGAACACTGACTTGTTTAGTCGATGACATCACTGAGACACTCTGGAGTTGAACTACAGTACCCATAATGCACCCCACCTTGACAGCAAGGGCCTCTGCACTCTCCCTGCATGAGCGTTCGATCTGGAACTGCATCTCCAAAACTTCCATCTCCTTCAACAGCTGAGAGGATACTGAGGAGAGAAGAGATAGGGGGAGAGAGAGATAAAGAGATAAGAAGAGAGAGAGAAGAGATAGGGGGAGAGAGAGAGATAGAGAGAGGAAAGAGAAAGACGGGGACAGAGAGAGCGAGAGTGGGGAGAGACAGAGACAGAGAGAGAGAGAGACAGAATAAATAGACTCCTGCTTACATACATATGTCATGAAAACTACACTAATTTGTCACATATAGAGTGCATTCGGAAAGTATTCAGACCCCTTGACTTTTTCCACATTGTGCTACGTTACAGCCTTATTCTAAAATTGATTAAATCGTTTTTTTTCTTTATCAATCTACACACAATACCCCATAATGACAAAGCAAAAACAGGTTTTTAGAAATGTTTGCACATTTATTAAAAGTATTCAGACCCTTTACTCAGTACTTTGTTGAAGCGCCTTTGGCAGCAATTACAGCCTTGAGTCTTCTTGGGTATGACGCTACAAGCTTGGCATACCTGTATTTGGGGAGTTTCTCCCATTCTTCTCTGCAGATCCTCTCAAGCTCTGTCAGGTTGGATGGGGAGTGTTGCTGCACAGCTATTTTTAGATCTCTCCAGAGATGTTCGATCGGGTTCAAGTCCGGGCTCTGGCTGGGCCACTCAAGGACATTCAGAGACTTGTCCCGAAGCCACTTCTGCGTTGTCTTGGCTGTGTGCTTAGATTCGTTGTCCTGTTGGAAGGTGAATATTCGCCCTAGTCTGAGGTCCTGAGTGCTCTGGAGCAGGTTTTCATTAAGGATCTCTTTGTACTTTGCTCCGTTCATCTTTCCCTCGATCCTGACTAGCATGATACTGCCACCACCAAGCTTCACCGTAGGGATGATGCCAGGTTTCCTCCAGACGTGACGCTTGGCATTCAGGCCAAAGAGTTCAATCATAGTTTCATCAGACCAGAGAATCTTGTTTCTCATTGTCTGAAAGTCCTTTAGGTGCCATTCGGCAAACTCCAAGCGGGCTGTCATGTGCCTTTTACTGAGGAGTGCCTTCCATTTGGCCTCTCTACCATAAAGGCCTGATTAGTGGAGTACTGCAGAGATGGTTGTCTTTCTGGAAGGATCTCCCATCTCCACAGAGGAACTCTGGAGCTCTGTCAGAGTGACCATTGGGATCTTGGTCACCTCCCTGACGAAGGCCCTTCTCCCCTGATTGCTCAGTTTGGCCTGGCAGCCAGCTCTAGGAAGTCTTGGTGGTTCCAAACTTCTTCCATTTAAGAATGATGGCGGCCACTGTGTTCTTGGGGACCTTCAATGCTGCAGACATTTTTTGGTACCCTTCCCCAGATCTGTGCCTCGACACAATCCTGTCTCGGAGCTCTACGGACAATTCCTTCGACCTCATGGCTTGGTTTTTGCTCTGACATGCACTGTCAACTGTGGGAACTTATATAGACAGGTGTGTGCCCTTCCAAATCATGTCCAATTAATTTAATTTACCACAGGTGGACTCCAATCAAGTTGTAGAAACACAGACGCACCTGAGCTCAATTTCAAGTCTCATAGCAAAGGGTCTGAATACTTATGTAAATAAGGTATTTCCATTTTCAATTTTGTATAAATTTGCAAACATTTATAAAAACCTGTTTTCGCTTTGTCATTATGGGGTATTGTGTGTAGATTGATGAGGAAAAACATGAATTTAATCCATTTTAGAATAAGGCTGTAACGTAACAAATGTGGAAAAAGGGAAGGGGTCTGAATACTTTCCGAATGCACTGTATGGATGTTAATTGGTGCATCTCACCTTCCTCCATCTCAGATAGCTTCTGATTGGCATCATCCCTCTGCTTCTCCAGAATCTCACACTACAGGACAGACCAAACAAATATACACATATACACACAGACTAGTCTCTGACATATTCTCTCATCATCTGTTTAGGCTACCGGTATATAAAAACTAAATATACAAGTCTTAAGCTATGTCCATGGATTTAACATGTGACGATTTGTCTCTATCCAACAGAGAAACCATAGAGTATCACAGTCACAGATGTTACTAAATATACCTGAATGTCTCCTTCATCTTCAGAGGAGCAGCTGCTTTCTCCACCAGAGGCTGTGAAAATATAACAAAATACTTTCATTTATCAAAATGTACAGTTATTGCAACTTATGGCGCTTCTTCCTGATAGTAATCACAAATAAGTGGTTAATAAATTAGGAAGAAAGACATTAATACCGCGTTCACATCGTGTCGGAAACTCGGGACCTCTGAGTTTAAATGAACATAAATGATTTGCGTAGAGTTTCCTATTGGTTGTTTGTGATACTTCCCAATTGGGAAACTCGGGTATCATCTTTCTACAATGAGTAAGCAAGTCAAAAGTTTCTGAGTTTCTGAGTTTCCGACATGACGTGAACATGCCACCAAATCCTAATGAGTCAGGTTGTCCTAGTCCTATAGAGCCCCCAGTGGAGGTGTCATGATACCCATAAAACCTAGCGGTCAAACATGGAAATGTTCCAATCATTTTTCCACCATTCATTTTTCCCATGGGGGATTTTAGAAACACTTACAATAAGGGCTGTGTTTCGTGTAGGCTTACCCTGGCATGACGTTTTAATAACCATGTAAATCTCTCTTGGACGAGGAGACTTTTATCAATATTTTCAGCTCTATTTACTCTCAAATTCAAAAATACTAATTAGCATCAAAGTAGACTTCATGCAAGACTACAAATCCCTGCAAGCTCCTGCACGTCATCTCTAGCTGACACCTTTGCTAACAGGTATTGTGTACATTTAAAACTTGCAGAAGACAGTTCACAGAATTGTCCATTTAAAGACATTTTGTAAATGCATTAATTACTACATTAAGCTAATATTAGATAGTTAATCCAGAGATTATTACCTTTTCCTCGATTCGGCAGTCTCGTCCAGATTATCATGGCATTTGTAGTTCTTTATGATAGCCACATTAGCAGCTAATTAGCGTTTCATTTTTGGGGAGTAAATACAGGCAAATATATTGATAAAAATCACCTTGTCCTAGAGAGATTTACACAGTTATCAAAATGTCACGCCAGGGTAAGCCTACATGAAACACAGCCCTTATTTTAAGTGTTTCTAAAATCCCCTATGGGAAAAATGAATGGTGGAAACGATTGGAAACATTTCTCTGTTTGACTGCTAGGTTTTATGGTATTATGACTCATACAGTGGTAACCTATAAGTGACCTTAAAAGAGGAAGCTCCACCCTCTGAAGGCGGATCACAGTGAGAATACAGGAAGTGATTAAGAAAGTCTCACTTTCAATATGGATCTGAGCCGTGCCATTCCCTCAACCGCACAGAATTATGAACAAGGGATTCATTCTTTACATTCTCTACTCAAACACTGCTTTATAGAGGGATGTGGAAAATCACCTCCAGTTTTTCATATCATAGTAGATAATATCACAATTGAGGGATGTTGTTGCATTTTTTGGCAGAGAAACAGGTGTGGTTATTTCAACGTGATCAGAATCTAATTGACATGACCAGAATCAAAACTATTCATTATTCAGTATGGCCTCTCTCTCATCAATCTCCAGGGCCAGCTGAGTGGGACATATAGAAGAGTAGGAGACCATAAATACTCAAACTCAGCACACACACACACACAGACACATATGCACACACACAGACACATATGCACACACATACAGTAAAAATGCATATATTTATTCAGGATTCATATAAACTTGTGGTTGCATCACTAACAACATACTACCAAATGATTTTACCACCAAGTACAGACAAAGTCGGCCTACTAAAACTGCCTAAGCAGGAAAGGCAAAAACTGAGGTAAAGAATCTGAGTCCTTGAGGCTTTCTCAACAATATTGAGACATTGTGGCCTGTTTGGTCCATATACAGCCTAGTCGACATGGGTTCAAATCCGACCCACTGCCCTTCTGACTCGCAATCTCTCCTACCTTTCCTGTCTCCTCTTCACTGTACTATCTCAATACAAAATACACAAAACCCTTAAATATGATATATATATTTACATATTGAGTCATTGAAAGTTAGTCTCACCTGCAGCGTTGCTGTCTTCCCCTTGGGTCCACATCGCGACCCAGCTAGGCTCTGGTTCTGGTTCTGGTTCTAGACTCTGGTTCTCTGACTACTAGACAAAGAGAGACCAGAGTCTCCCTTCTACAGTCTCTGTGTTCTGTTCTAACTCATGATCTTTCCCCTCCTTTGACCAACGCACCGACACACACGCCCCAGTGTGTAGGAAAGGGAATTGAAAGTCTTGACTTTCGTGTTACAACATGGGTAGTTGTTCACACATACTTATACCAGAAGTGAATAAACTATAATTGTGTGTATTTTAGTAAGACTGGGACAACTCCATGGATTCTGCTAAATAGTTCATTAATGGTACCCAAACTATGTGCACTGACTCTAACTTGCACTGACCCTACGTACACAATAGACTATATATACAAACCATATACACACTCACTCACACACACTACATTGACACTCCCACACAAAACCCACACACATTCATGTACACTACATACACACAAAACACACACATGCATACTGACAAAACACAAACACATATACAGTGGGGAAAAAAAGTATTTAGTCAGCCACCAATTGTGCAAGTTCTCCCACTTAAAAAGATGAGAGAGGCCTGTAATTTTCATCATAGGTACACGTCAACTATGACAGACAAATTGAGATTTTTTTTTTAAATGAATTTATTTGCAAATTATGGTGGAAAATAAGTATTTGGTCACCTGCAAACAAGCAAGATTCATGGCTCTCACAGACCTGTAACTTCTTCTTTAAGAGGCTCCTCTGTCCTCCACTCGTTACCTGTATTAATGGCACCTGTTTGAACTTGTTATCAGTATAAAAGACACCTGTCCACAACCTCAAACAGTCACACTCCAAACTCCACTATGGCCAAGACCAAAGAGCTGTCAAAGGACATCAGAAACAAAATTGTAGACCTGCACCAGGCTGGGAAGACTGAATCTGCAATAGGTAAGCAGCTTGGTTTGAAGAAATCAACTGTGGGAGCAATTATTAGGAAACGGAAGACATACAAGACCACTGATAATCTCCCTCAATCTGGGGCTCCACGCAAGAGGACCCCGTGGGGTCAAAATGATCACAAGAACGGTGAGCAAAAATCCCAGAACCACACGGGGGGACCTAGTGAATGACCTGCAGAGAGCTGGGACCAAAGTAACAAAGCCTACCATCAGTAACACACTACGCCGCCAGGGACTCAAATCCTGCAGTGGCCAGACGTGTCCCCCTGCTTAAGCCAGTACATGTCCAGGCCCGTCTGAAGTTTGCTAGAGTGCATTTGGATGATCCAGAAGAGGATTGGGAGAATGTCATATGGTCAGATGAAACCAAAATATAACTTTTTGGTAAAAACTCAACTCGTCGTGTTTGGAGGACAAAGAATGCTGAGTTGCATCCAAAGAACACCATACCTACTGTGAAGCATGGGGGTGGAAACATCATGCTTTGGGGCTGTTTTTCTGCAAAGGGACCAGGACGACTGATCCGTGTAAAGGAAAGAATGAATGGGGCCATGTATCATGAGATTTTGAGTGAAAACCTCCTTCCATCAGCAAGGGCATTGAAGATGAAACGTGGCTGGGTCTTTCAGCATGACAATGATCCCAAACACACCGCCCGGGCAACGAAGGAGTGGCTTCGTAAGAAGCATTTCAAGGTCCTGGAGTTGCCTAGCCAGTCTCCAGATCTCAACCCCATAGAAAATATTTGGAGGGAGTTGAAAGTCTGTGTTGCCCAGCGACAGCCCCAAAACATCACTGCTCTAGAGGAGATCTGCATGGAGGAATGGGCCAAAATACCAGCAACAGTGTGTGAAAACCTTGTGAAGACTTACAGAAAACGTTTGACCTGTGTCATTGCCAAAAAAGGGTATATAACAAAGTATTGAGAAACTTTTGTTATTGACCAAATACTTATTTTCCACCATATTTTGCAAATATATTCATTAAAAATCCTACAATGTGATTTTCTGGATTTTTTTCCCTCATTTTGTCTGTCATAGTTGACGTGTACCTATGATGAAAATTACAGGCCTCTCTCATCTTTTTAAGTGGGAGAACTTGCACAATTGGTGGCTGACTAAATACTTTTTTCCCCCACTGTACATACACATTACACACACACACATTCACACACACACACTTTTACACTCTTCATTTGCTGCTGCTACTCAGTTCTTTATTTTACAATTATTATGATCTATCCTGATGCCTAGTCACTTTACCCTGCCTTCATGTACATATCTACCTCAAATACCTCTGCATATTGATCTGATACTGGTACTCCCTGTATATAGCTCCATTCTTGTGTATTTTATTTTATTCCTCTTGTGTTACTATTTTGTTTTTATTTTAAACTCTGCATTTTAGGGAAGGGCTCATAAACAAGCATTTCACGGTAAAGTCTACACCAGTTGTATTCGGCGCATGTGACAAATAACATTTTTTTTAAATTTTATTCTATCCTAACATTGTCCACAATACTTATCCCCAAAGCATCTCTGACTGTCCTTAAAATATATCTTGCATCCCAAATGTCCCCCAATTCCCTATTAAAGTATCTTGCACTACATAGGGAATAGGGTGCCATTTGGGACAAAGCCATCATGTTCCTCCACTCAGCAGTGTACTGTAGTTTTACTTTGCTGAAGTATCCCCGGCCTCAGTAAGAAATTGTGCACTTCAGTTGACATCTCTAAGTGGGACACTGTCTTTCTAAACTTACAGAAAAATCGAAGTGTGTCTGGCAAGAGAAAACATACCTTGTATCTTCATACTACAGTAGAGGAACATCTTAAATGTGCACCAAATGGCACCTTATTCCCTCTGTAGTGCACTACTTTTGGCCAGGGTCCAATGGGTTTTGATCAAAAGCGGTGCACTTTAATAGGGAATAGGGTGCCATTTGGGACGCAGCCCCTAACTCAGGCCATGACCTCTGTTTGCAGCCTCAACAGAGATCTGCCATTAAAAACTAAAAGCTAATTCTCGAGATAACATGACATACTGTACATTGGGATGAGGAACCCTCTATTATTCACACACGCACACACTCATACACACACACACACACCAATTATTCAGACTATTCCTTCCTATGTAATTAAACTTTGATTTGATTTGATTTATTAATAATCCCTACAGTGGATATTGTTGTTTCTAGCGGTATACTACTTCACAGGACCAGGCCTATATCTGTTAAGGGCAGAGACCTCAGTTCCAGCCCTGATGTTTAGATTAATAATACAACAACATTTAATAAATACCACAATCGTGAAGAGAAATAGCCACATCTTGAATCTGCAACAATCAACCCCAAAACAACAATAACTACTCCTTCATACTCTTCCAGCATTGACAGACTGACCCATGGTGACTACTATCCTCCAGCAATTTCTTAGCTTTTACAGTTGAAAAGTGATATCCCAAGTATAAATACAGTAAAGTACACACACACTAAAGGGCAAACCAATTTTTTAAAAGCAAAAAATATATATTTTTTTTACACAACTGCTAACTTTAAAGAGGCATTCAAGGAGTTGGTCTGATGGAAATCTGTGATGTCATCGGCCTCCCCCCTTGCTTGAGGAATAATAGAGGAGCGACGGAGAACAAAAGAGGAAAGGCCCACCCCCCTCTTGTGCTATGTCATGACACACAGTGGCTTGCGAAAGTCAAAGGTTTGGAAACACCTACTCATTCCAGGGTTTTTCTTTATTTTTACTATTTTCTACATTGTAGAATAATAGTGAAGACATCAAAACTATGAAATAACACATATGGAATCATGTAGTAACCCAAAAAGTGTTAAACAAATCCAAATATATGTTATATTTGAGATTCTTCAAATAGCCACCCTTTGCCTTGATGACAGCTTTGCACCTTCTTGGCATTCTCTCAACCAGCTTCACCTGGAATGCTTTTCCAACAGTCTTGAAGGAGTTCCCACATATGCTTAGCACTTGTTGGCTGCTTTTCCTTCACTCTGCCGTCCGACTCATCCCAAACCATCTCAATTGGGTTAAGGTCGGGGGATTGTGGAGGCCAGGTCATCTGATGCAGCACTCCATCACTCTCCTTCTTGGTAAAATAGCCCTTACACAGCCTGAAGGTGTGTTCGGTCATTGTCCTGTTGAAAAACAAATGATAGTCCCACTAAGCCACATCATTAACGTTAGGTGGTTGGTAGCTGCTGTACTTAATTTCGGCTACTGATTGCAGTCTGCCAGTTTGGCTTTATACATAGCTTGGGCTTTGTCGAGTAAGGCTTAAACTATGTATTTAGATTGTAGTTAGGTACTATAGGTAGGCATCGTGGGCTGTATATTATTAAGTAGTATAGGTAGGCATCGTGGGCTGTTGTGGGTAGCTGTTGTGTAGTTATTGTAGGTTACTTTTGTATTCGGCGGTGCCGGATGTAGCACGAAGCTAGCTAGCTAACTCACCTCCTGGATTAGCTGGCGAGTTGCTATTAGCAACGGTTGCAACTAAAAACAATATCCTTTTAGCCAGCTACATTCGTTCGCAGCGACGCCGTTTTTCAAACAAAGTCAACACAGTAGCCATTGCTAGCCAGCCAACACTACCAGCAGGCTGTGGTAGCTAAATGCAATATCTTTGAGCTAGCTACCCAACGTTTAATCGTTGCTGCGTTATGAAAGGTAAGCTTGGCTTCTTATATGGTGTTGAGTTAAGCTTAAACCATGTATTTAGATTGTAGGTAGGTATTGTAGTTTGGTATTATAGGTAGCTTACTCAGGTAGTTATTGAAGGGTATTGTAGGTAATTATTGTAGGTAAGGACTGTATTCGGCGGACTCCGGCGAAGCACGAGGCTAGCCTACCCACTACTTGGACCAACAAAGCTAGCTAGCTAGCGGGTAGCTACTGGTAACTTTTTGCAACTATGGTTAATTGTTTCCAATGTTATTTCATGCTTAAGAGTACCTGTGATTGAGCCAGCTAGCTGCTACCATTCAGCTGTTTTTCTAACCTCATCCGAGGCATTAACGTTAGGTGGTTGGTAGCTGCTGTACTTAATTACAGCTACTGATAACAGTCTGCTGTAGTTTACAACAATTCTAATTTCTAAAGTGGAAGTTGGGAGAGTTTTACTCGGGTGGTTCAGTGAAA